TGACTCTCGAAAACAGCACGTAGACGCGGCTCAGAAGGGACATCGGTCTGTAGTTTTTCAAGAGAGCGTTGTCGCCTTTCTGTCGCCAGCCAGCTGCTGGCCCCTTGGATTCCGTTGCCCTATCCCAAATTTCCCTACCTTCAGCTCACCGTTCTTTCTTGTGCCCAGTTTTGCGTTGAAGTCTCCCATTAACACCGTATAGTGAGTTTTAGAGGAATGCATGGCTCTAGAAATGTCCTCATACATTTCCTCCACCTTCTCATCGGGATGTTCAGACGTTGGCGCGTGAACCTGTATGACCTTCAGCGAATACATTTTGGTGATTCTGAGTATAAGGTACGCAACCCTCGTCGATACACTCCCAATCTTTAAAACGTTTTTAACGCGAGACTTGTGGACGATAAATCCAACACCTCCTTGGGACTGATGGTAGCCCTCCCGGTGATAGAACAAGTTGCCGGATTCGCTCTTCGAACCTCGGATAATCCTATAATATTCCAGCGCAACTTGTCTATCTCTTCTTCCAGCTCCAGGATCTTCTCGTCAGTCCTCAGGGTGCGTGCGTTAAATGTTGCCAGGTCGAGTCGTCATAGGTGGCAACTGAACCTCCAACGGAGATTCTTAGCACCCCTTGCCCCGCCGTTACCATGGCCGCCACCGTAGCCAGGAATAGCGGGGCCGCCGGGGACTGGGGGCCGTCTATTTGTGTAATTGTTCATGGGGGTATATTGCCATAGTTTCCACGCTTGGCGAGCGGGTTGGCAACCGCAGTTTTTTTGTTGTATAGTTACTGTTATCAGGAAGATGCTGCTGCCCATCTCCTGCCTGTTTCCCTCTGACGCCTTTTACGACACCCACGGGAAGATATGGGGTATTGGATATTCTTAACCGCCACTACACGGTCGATTAGCATCATTTGCACAAAATAGCTACAGAAAAGCTAGAAACCTCCACCTAACACGGGTGTCTACTGAAAATTTTGACAATGTGACCCCCGTTGAAACGGATTGAATCATCCTTACTTCATAGTAGTAAAGAATATTTAAAGACGTGTATTTCCCCCTGAGTTTTTAGAACTTCAAAAATGTTAAATTCTGCGACTGAAGAAATGAAAACTTTTATCGGCTGTTCCGTGGTCATTAGCCTTCTTGGTTTGTCAAGAAGAAAACAAGAATTGCTTTAGTATCCGAAGCTATATATAGTTGTTACAAGCTTGAGGTTCGTGGCAATAAAAATTGCCGATAAAATTACCTAAATTAACACTTTAATTTTATTTACACCAATTAAAACTTAAAACACTAACAATTAATCACACTGATTCACTTTATTCCGCTCCGAAGCTTCGCTTGTCTCGCCAAATTCAATACTTCCCCGATCGCACCTTGCAGCGTCTATAAATACACATTAGTACCGAATCATCCAGAACATTCAAGTAAATACGCGCACCAATCGACAAAGCGCCGAAAGTTCGAGAGTCAGCTTCCAGAAGCTTAGTTCTTCATTTCGAAAACAGATGGCGCTGTCGGTTGAGAGATTAGTGATGTCATTTTCTGGAAAGCTCTCCCCTCGCTCCGTTACCTGACACTAGATGGCGCTAGTGCCAGATGTCAACTTTGCCGCGCAACACTGCCCCCCTCCTAAGACGTGCTCGTCCCGAGCATTATCGGCCCCATAATAACGCGCCAGGCGATCCACATGGACGATCTTAGGAGTCCCTCCTGCGCCTTTCTGTAGCCGGTAGGTTACATCGTTGATCCTGGTTACAATCCGGTACGGGCCGTCCCATTTAGCTTGGAGCTTAGGAGATTTCCCTTTGCTGCGGACTGAATTGTGCAACCACACTAGTGAACCTTCGTCGAAGCCTTTATTGTTCATTTTGCGGTCGTACCGGGTTTTCATCTTCTCAGACATTTGCTGGCCCGATTGTCTGACGTGCTCATGAATGTCATTCATTTTGTTCCGCAAGTCATTTGCATAATCGGTTATACTGCGTGGGGTATCAGGTGGTATCCCGGTGATCAGGTCTGCAGGCAGCCGTAATTCTCTTACAAAGTTTGCGAAAGCTGTTGTCACTGCTGTACTTTCGTGAACAGCGCTTCGATATGACAACAAAAACGGTTGTATGTGCTTGTCCCAATCTCGTTGCCGATTGTCTACAACTTTTGCCAGGTACCTCTCCAATGTCTGATTAAATCGTTCTACCATTCCATCAGATTGCGGGTGATAAGAAGTCGTTCTTGTTTTATGAGTACCCATAACTCGGCAAGTTTCCTGGAATATTTGAGACTCAAAATTCCTTCCTTGATCGCTGTGAATCTCTAAAGGTACCCCAAAACGACAGAAGACTTCATGAACTAGTTTGTCCGTTACTGTTGAAGCTTCTTGATTTGGAATGGCGAAGACTTCTGGCCACTTAGTGAAGTAATCCATCACAACCATGAAATACTTGTTACCCTTTCACTCTCCAGAAACGGCCCCGCCACCTCAATGGCTATTCTCTCAAATACAAATTCGATTTCGAGACTCACTCAGACGATAAAGCTCACATAGGAGGCGAACTATAGCCCGTTCACCGTAAGATGTCCCCTGCCTTCGGAAATGGCAACATTGTCTACGGTGCTGCCAACAATATATGGAGCATTTACCCCACTTGGTGGTTGTTGGCAAAATTATCTAAACTTGAAAACCCCTGATTGATATGTTTTACTAGCTTATTTAAATAAGCTAGTTAAGTTAGTTATAAGACTAGTAAGGTTGTGAATGATAACACAATTAAATTTTTAAATTATTTATTGATTTATTTTTCCGACAATAATTATGGTCGAAAGGAACAATTCCAGACATACTCGTATCACTGTCACTTTCATAAACGTCGTCATTATCATCTGTCGTATCCGAATCTGTGCTGCTGTCATTTCCTAATTCAATTATGAATTTATCAGTAATATCATCCATACAGCCATCAAGTACATAAAACTTGTCTTCTAAATTTTTTACGTGTTCACACTGCTTTTGCTAATCCTGAGGGGTTATAGATGAAAAAGCTTCTTTAGTTAACTTCACGATATTCCCAGCTTCTTGGCCGACATTATTGCTGGCCTCAATCGCATTTAAATCGCAGTGGGCAAGTGCAAAGGGGCAACCTAACCACTTTATAGCCATGAGAAAGCAATAATTGGTCAGCCTCATAAATCGGCGCTTCTTTGTGCTCTTTTATAATTTCATAAAGTTCTGCTTTCAGATCTATAGAGAATATTTTATTTTATAATCATTTTATAAAATAAAATATTTATAAAATAAAAATACAGACATTATCATAATAAAATAAATTAAATTATGTGAGATACGTACTTTTTATTTTAATTCGTAATGTTAGTAATTTCTTATTATTACCCATACTAAAGGCATTTTGCATGAAGCTGGCATCCCTATTTTACTAACCTGTCATGGCGGCGACGCGAGTTCGCACTTGATTGAGTGGAATTAACGGGGCTTGGTTTGCCTTTTCTCTCTCACAAAAAGGCACGCACCTTCAACACAACCTCTCTTGCACTGCTTCTAAATGGTTTCGGCATAATTAATTCGGAATATTTTAAATAATAACACAAAAACGAGCGTTATAATCACAAACTGACAACAGATTGACAAGCAATAGTGCCAACAACATAGCAGGGGACATCTTACGGTGAACGGGCTATAGCCTGATCGAACGAACTGAACCTGAACGAACCTGATCTTGATTCGGTATTCTGTAAGCATGTGGTACGCACATGTGAAGTGAATTGAGGTTCGAATCGAAGATCGCTTAGCTAGGGATTGACTCACTTAGAATAACTCAGTCGATGTTAGTTTCGTATCCCTTTTTCTAGTAATAAACGACCACTTTCTTGTGTAATTTTATATTTAATTAATGACTATTCAATTTAACTACATTCTTTATGTGTAATTATATTTTAATGCCCAAAATAACGGCACTTTTAATAATTTGGCTTTATAGAGCAGTGTCTTTGCCGCTGTTATTTGAGAACTTTATGACATAAACAAAGTTTGTTTAAAATCGAATGACAGTGCGAAGTGAAAAACATTTTGCAACGATTTTTATAAATAATAAGTATTCATTTAATTTAAAAAAAAAACATGAAGTAAGTTAATCAATTGTTTAAATTCTTTAATTCATGTTCAATAGAACTTTGCTTAACTGTAATAATTTCTTTTACATTGTAGCCCGATAGAAAGAGCGTCACATCTATCTTGGGATCAAATTTCTACTCTTTAGTAGTCCTTAGGACCTTTTACAAAGAAATCCAAGTTTGTCAAAAGGATATTCAATATTAACGGAAGCAGATGTTATTGATATTCCTTATTGATATTAAATGCAATTAAAAAATCTATTTAAAAGTGTAGGTTTGAATTCAAAAAGTTATTTTGTGCTTATGTGAAATATATTTGGGACAATTATATCGCCTCTTTACAAGAACAACGTGACATCTCATAAAAACGTTTTTTATTATTATTTGATATTCAAAACCGCGATATCGAATTTTATTTTCTATAAAAACGCGGCATTTTAAAAGTGAATGTTCGAGGAGCTATGAGTGAAAGAGACGAAACGACCGTGGCAAATGGCGTTATCACGTTGTCTCTTTCGGTGTGGCGCACGACTTCGACAACGCGACGATTTAGTTTGCCCCGCACGCGCATTAGTGAAGTGCTGAGTGTGAAGAGACGCTGCTACCCTTCTCCTGGTTTGTTTCCATCAGTTGGCTCTTACGAAACTCACGGGACGATATGTCCGGAGTTCTTATTTGTGTTCAACACAAAAAAAGTTTACCTAAAATTATTTTATCACTGACGATCAAAGCACAATAATTAACCTTTTTTTTCTTCCAGATAATTTAATTTTAATTATAATAAGTATGATAACATTTAAGTCTATTCGTTCTCACTAAATAAACTATGTACTTATAATCAGGTACAAGAATATCTGACATCAAGAGCTCTTATATAATCTTCTCTGTTTTCTTGCCCGCAACGGGTTCTGTAAAAAGACATACAAGAAAAACGATTACATTTCTGGTACATCACAAAATTATAAATTGTTATTTTAGTACCTATATTATTGCTATTGGATATTGTTATCTCTGTTTCTCTATGTAATAGTGTGGCTTTTCTGTGTTGTGTAACGAAGATACCCAGGGTAGAACCAGAGTAACTGACATAGCGCAACAGATTAGTAAGCTAAAGTGGTAAAAAGCTCGCCATATAGATCAAAGAACCGAAAACTGATGGAAAAGTAAGATTCTCGAGTGGCACCACCAGTAAGCGAAGTGTAGGACGGCCCCCACTGGATGTAGTGTTGTGTGTTGAGTTACCTGATGAGAGATAGAGGAAGTCAATGGATGCTGGTCGTTCAGGGCCGTGCCACATAGGCATTCTTTTAGGGAGACCTACATTCAGCTATTTGGGGGAGCTCAACATACGTGTTGGGTTGTTATAAAATTATAGATAACGATAATTTTGTTGATGATGAAGGTGCTAAAGATTATTGTTTTAAAGCATGTGCAACAAACAGCTTTACTTGCGTCTCCTCTTTAATCAGATGGATAAACGTTCGGTTAAACTTCCAAATTAAATTAAATGCTCAAACGAAACTTAGCTATAACAAATGATTAATACTTATCTATCCTTGGTAGCTTAGATGGTTAGCGCTCGCTGTAAATTTCACAGTTCGCAAGCAACCTGAGTTCGATTCCCGCAGGCACCAATGAAATTGTTCCTTGCAATTTTAAGTGCTGATTTACCACGTGCTCGGTGGTAAAAGAAAAAGTCGTGAGAGAACCTGCGTGTCTGAGAAATAAGAAAAAAAATATTTCGAAGCTATGTGAAGTTTGCCTATTGGGGCAGCGCGGCGTGCATTTCCTTGCCCTAAAACCTAACCTACCCTCTAAAAAATGAGAAGAGGTCTGGGCCCAGCAGTGAGAACTAAATAGGCTGTAACTTTTACTTTTATCTAGTTACATGAAAGAACATTCGCTAGGGTAATCGTGGGTGTAATGAAAGTTTTAGCTTAAAATTATTCGTAAACATACATCTTCTCGTCTACACCTACGTTTTTCAGTTTGTGTAGGGATAAAAATTGCATTTCTCAGACCTTAACTCCAGAACTATACTAAATTTCTACTCAAAGTATTTAAGGAGTCTTTTTTAAGTATGCAAAATAACAAGTATGTAAGTCTAATAGTTTTCAAGTTATGGCTGTTAAAAGTGGCTCGTAATGGTTCGTGTCTATCTGCCACTGCATCGCCCTTTTATTACCTAACTTGATTGATATACTTCCGTATGTCTACGTAGAGAGATTTTGACCTCCTTTTAAGTAAAGTAAAATCCAATCAGACTTAAGATCCCAATATGTTAAAAGACATTGTAAAATTACTGTAATATTAATTCAATTTATGTAAATGTAAGCTTTTAAGATTTACAAAAATTTAATTATTATTACTGTAACGTAATTATAATATTTTTTTTTGCGCCCGAAGCAAATATGGGCAACCCTCCGGAAAGCGGGGGAGGCGGTGAATGCTCATAGCATACCACGCAGCCGGCTGCGTGGTTATGTGGAGACTTTTACCCACTACACACCGCCTTTTAGGAAATGGCTTAACGATCTGACTAGAGATCTCTAGGCCGTATACGAACGCGACCCTCCTTGGCAGAAAGGAGGGCGCAAGTTATAATATTAGTGTAATTATTATAACTGTAACTTTGGAAGTTATCAAACTTAGGACTAGGCTATTAAAATATTAATATGTTACAATAAATATAAACTCCAACTAAACCAGCCGTTTAAATTAGGACGCTAATAGTACCACTCTATCAAAGTACGAATCTCTTACAATAATTTTATAGTTGGAAGTCAATCAAACCAAAATTTGCTATTAATATAATAAAAAAAGGATAATCCCCCATATTGTCCTGGATCGAAGGCCGATATTGTGTAATTATTATTACTGCAACTTTGAAAGTTATCAAACTAAGGACTAGGCTGTTAAAATATTAATATGTTACAATAAATATAAACTCCAACTAAACCAGCCGTTTAAATTAGGACGCTAATAGTACCACTCTATCAAAGTACGAATCTCTTACAATAATTTTATAGTTGGAAGTCAATCAAACCAACATTTGCTATTAATATAATAAAAAAGGATAATCCCCCACATTGTCCTGAATCGAATGCCGATATAAGGAGATTAATTAGAATTATTTATAAATTGAAAAAAGAGCGTGAGTCTCATTATCTAATTTGTTTAGGTTGGATTTCGAGTTGCAACAATTTGAAGATTCAAATTGGACTTGCAGCATCACACAGGACAAAAAGTCTAATAATTTTAATTTAGGCCCAACACTCTCAACGGTCAAGTATTCATTTATTATTAAAGTTAGTAAATTGAATTATCAATTTTCGTAAGATATTACTATAATATTGTTAGTGTTAGTTACCACATTACATTATGACTTTGTTGTATTTTTGTCAGTTTAAGTTACATTCAAGTTAATTTCGTATTTAAAACAATACAGTTGGCGTTCAAGCTACATTAAGATATTAGTGTAACCATTTAAACTGGCTATTTTTCAGTATAATATTATTTTATGCATAGGTACTAATAATTATTTTATAATACTGTCCGGTACATACTTGTTAGCTAATTTGACTTGTAATACTTTAGATTATTTCATTTGTTGTGATAATGTTAGGTAAATTTTCATAACATAAAATATAAACACTCACGCCTGTCACCTAGAGGGGTAGGAGGATACTACAGATTTCCATTTGGCACGATTCTAACACACCGCTCTCGCCTCCTCCATCCATATAACTACGCACACATGCTCGTTGGTAAAGGGTAATGTTAATTTGTCCCATTTTTATTATATCATCAATTTGGTCGATAAACTTTCGCCTAGGGCGTCCCTTTCCAACTCTTCTGTTCATTTCTGCAACATAAATTTGCTTTGTCACTTTTCCCTTATTCATTCTTTCTACATGACCAAACCACCGAAGCATTCCCTTCTTAATCCTCGTTACAACATCATCTTGCAAACTATTATCTTATCACACAATGTCTAACGACCGCATTTCTACTGCTTTTATTCTACTCTCGTGCTACTTCTGCCACATCCAACTTTCACTACCATACGTTAATTAAGGGACTGACACGGCATTCTGAATTCTGATTTTCGACAATAGAAAATATATAATTGATAATATAGAAATAAATTTTCGTAGTTTTATTTTATTGTCATTTTTACCTAATTATGTTTTTTATTGTATAATGTTGCAGGTTGATAACATCAGCCTCTAAGTATGACCGAAGAAAAAGATTTAATTAAAAAACTAGGAAGTTTTAAAGATCGCTTTAATTTTTTCACAAATAAGTTAAATTCGCTTAGCGTTTCTACATTGCATTTTTCAGCGATAAGGGAGTTGCAATTGCTTATGGGTAAAATTGAGTCACTGTACGACCAATTTGTAGAGGTACAATAAGGACTAGAGTGCATTAGGGATAATGTTGATAAAATTCTTGCAGAGCGTAATCATTATGAGTCACAGTATATATTAGTATTATGTTATATCACAATATAGTAAGAATAATGAAGAGTCAGCGTGTAGTGATAAATTTTCTCGTTGATTAAAACTACTTTTACGAATTTTATCGCGTTTAATTTACTTTTAATTATTTTTATTTTTAATTCCCTACGTTTCGGGTGCTTTCCAGCACCCATGGTCACGGGGGACTGAGGTGACTGACGTCCCGATATCATTGTTACACTCGAAGTACCTTAAGATTTTTTATTTACATATTGTTTATGGTGCGATCTATGCAAAATGAACTGACTATGTCTTGAGGTCTTGCAGTGGTACGCTTGGGTGTAGTTTTAATTTTATTGATTATAGGGTCTCTAGCAGGTAGTAGTGCCCAGCATCCTTCTCTATTGAAATTAGGATATTTTTTTAATTTCAATAGCCTCACGTATCATCCTTGGTAGGAATCGGTGTTCTTTCGCGAGGATTTGTGGTCTATCAAATCTGATGTAATGGTTGGGGCCGTCTAAGATATGATCACAAACTGCAGACTTCCCGGAACGTTGATGCTTCACATCAGCTATATGTTCTTTTACGCGGGTTCTAATTGATATTTTTGTTTCTATATAAGAGAGACCACATTCACAATCAAGCTTGTACACTCCTGGATCTTCTAGAGGAATATAACACTTGACGGATGGTAGGCACTGACTAATCTTCTTCGGCGGCTTGTAGAATGTTCTAATAGAAGCTCCCTTCAAGATGTAGCCAATCTTGTCACTGATACCTCTGACATATGGTAGTACAGTAGGCAAACGCTCGATTGTGGCTGGTTCACTCGGTCACTGTGATGAAGACGTGGGACCCGAAGCTTGTTGTCGTGCAGAACTTGCTTGACGTGCTGAAGCTCGGCGGCCAGGTGTTTGCTGTCACAGATCCCTCGTGCTCTCTGTAACAATGATTTGCCCACGGTAGCTAACTGTGAAAGATGGTAGTGAGATTCACCGTTTAAATATCTTCAACACAAGCAAGTAGATGGTGTTGCGATGGGCTCACCTGTATCTCCCATTGTCGCCGATATATTCATGGAAGATTTTGAGGAGAAAGCCCTCCTTACTGCACCTGTTACAAGCGGTACGTAAACGATACTTTCGCAATTTTACCATCAGATAAAGTAACTGAATTTTAGAACATCTTAATTCCATCAACTCTAAAATTCAATACCTTACCTATAATAATTCCTTACCTTTCCTAGATATGTTAGTCATCCGAAATCCTAACAACACCATAGGTCACACTGTGTGAAGAAAAAAGACCCATACAAACCGATATTTAAACGGCGAATCTCACCACCATCCTTCACAGTTAGCTACCGTGGGTAAATCTTTGTTACTGAGAGCACGAGGGATCTGTGACAGCAAACACCTGGCCGCCGAGCTTCAGCACATCAAGCA